GGGGGGCCCCCGGGGGGGCCCCCGGGGGGGCCCCGGGTTGCGGGGGGCGGCGGGGAGCTGGGGGGAAGCCGGCGAGGCCGTCGGCGTTGAGGGCGGGGACGCAGAGCTGGCGCTGCTGGCGCTGGAGGCGCTGCTGCTGCTGCTGCTGCTGCTGCTGCTGCTGCTGCTGCTGCTGCTGGCCGCGGACCTGGGCGAGGCGGTGCTGCGCGTCGAGGCTCCTGGTGTAGCGCCAAGTGGCCTTGAAAACTCTGCTGTACCCCCCCTCCCCTATGGGGCCCTCTATGTCGATTTCTGCTGCTGGAATGAGGATTTGCTGCAGCAAGTTGCTGCTGCTGCTTCTGTAGAGGCCCCTGAGCCGCTGGCGGTGGCGCAGCTTCAGCAGCAAGTCCACCAGCAGCAGCAGCAGCCGCCGCTGCTCCCAGCTGCGGACTCCGATGTCTTGGAGGTCTGCGTCGGTGAGGGCCAGCAGCGCGGGCCCGTCGATTTGCTGCTGCTGCAGCAGCAGCAGCAGACTCTCCGGGCAGCCCGCGCTGCGCAGCAAACACTGCACGTGCTGCTGCCCCCAGTGCCGCACTGCAGCAGCAGCAGAAAACTGCCGCAGCGCTTCCATTTGCTGCGTCAGCCGCTGCTCCATCCCGATGTCTTCTCCCGAGCCGCTGCCTTCGCTGCTGCTGCTGCTGCTGCTGCTGCTGGTGATGCCCACTGCAGCAGCGGCGCGCCGCACGGCCGCGGACCGCGCGCGCAGCCGCGCGCTCGCGCGCGCGCCCTGCTGCTGCTGCTGCTGCTGCTGCTGCTGCTGCAGCAGCAGCAGCGGGGTCGTTTTTTGGCGGATTTTTTCGCTTTTTCTTTTATTTTTCCAAGGCCGAGGAGGCAGCAACTGGCGAGAAGATATCAGCAACTCCTGCCGCAGCAAACGGCCCCGATCCCACTCCCCAGAGTAGATCATCCCCCCAGGGTACAGCAGCACGCCGCGGCCGTGCTTCTGCCCCCTGTGGAACTGGCCCACGTAGCGGCAGCCCTGGGCCAGCGCCTGCACCCCCAGCCCCTGCCGGAGGCCCCCCGCCCACTGGCCTTCGTATTTGCTGCAGGGGCCCCTCAGCAGCACTCCCCAGCCCTCTCTCCGGTCCAGTTTCCAGAACCCGCAGTACCCTGCGGGGCCCCTGGGGGCCCCCCCGAGGGCCCCCCCGAGGGGGCCCCCCAGGGGCCG